ATCCGTAGTACCGGTGACCACCACTTTGGCACCTAATATGGACATCAATTTTACGATACCCTCCCCTATACCGGAACTGGATCCAGTCACCAAGATCACTTTACCCGTGAAATTACGTGAAGAATCTCTAACGGCTTTATAATCTTCAATACTGTAGTCGGCAGTGACTGCAACCCATAATAAGGCGATTATTAATAAAGTATTCATTTTATAAGCAATTAATTAGACGCTTAATAGTGATTTGATTTTTACAATCTTAATTGTCTTATTGGTACTTGCTTCATTTTATGGGTTTGATCCGCTGTTTATATACAAATTTGTAATCGATTTTGACCTCAAAATTCTTTCAGACACCATTTGTCAATTATTTATTGTCAATTATCTTAAGTCGATCTGGGTGCTAATTCAGTTTAAATGTTATAATGCGCTTGCTCAACAATCAACTGCAATTAGTGCATGAGTTACCCTAGTATACCGTGGTTAGTATTATAAACTAGGAAATAAAATGCTGTAAATTATCAAAATACTTCAAAATAGATTGTTATAATCAATATCCTAGTATATGAGCTGTTGATAATAGTTACACAACACTATCAAACTAATAAATGCATTTATTTAAGAACTGTATTATGATAATCATCAAAAACATAAAGTATATGTACACTAACATTATTATATTTATTTAGGATTACAATTGTTTGCCAAAATAGGTCATGTCATTTCTTGGAAATTAAAATATCTTATGGTTATTTTCATTGATTCAAGGTTCATTGATAAATAAACTTAAAATAAGCATTAAAAATATTTATTTAAAAACACATTTTGTATTAAATATTTTCTAATTTATGCGCATATATAATACTTATAGTTTATAATTGATAAAATTATCTAATTTTAAACATAATATAATAATATAGATAATTTTAAAGTTAAATAAAACTAATAATATTTCAAAAATAGTTCAACATTTAAATTATAAAATTAAGTTTTCAAAACTTTATATAAAGTTTGTGACAAAATGCTTCGGACTCGTTGACTTTAATAAAATACTAGTTATAATTGAGCCAGATTAAAATAAATTTTTTTGTAATAATGGTTTTTCCCTACCAATCTATCAATATAAC